AAAAAAGTTAAGGAAACTCGTTGCCTCAAAAAAAACTAAGTAAAGCTTACTTAAGGTGACTGTTAGGACAACAGCCATCATTGCAAGTCTGCAGTATTAAGAATAACTTGATATTTCTGACTGTACAATACTAATTGTTTACCTACTGACAAACATTTCAAGTTCAACTAATGAAAAAACAATTTGTGGTAACCTGAATATGATTAAAAATAATTAACAACACTTTTTGTAATGATGTTTAAAAACAGCCCAACTTTTATTTTCAAACACAACAAAGTATAACAGCCAACATACTGGACACTGTTCTGCTGAACAACAAACAATTATATTGCCATCACTGTTATAATCTCACAATGAAACAAAGTCTCAGGTGTAATTATTCTGAAAATAAGTTTAGGCCTACCTCAAGTTTGTTTTGTACTTACTTTATTTTTATTATCTAAGTAATGTATTTGTTGTTCTGTCACAAGTGCAGTCTCTAAATTAAACAATACATTTGTTTTGCATTCCAACACATGAGCTGGAATGTTGTAATGTTTTAAGGATGGCTTGTTTCCAGTCCAGGCATTACTGCCTGAATGACTGTCATGGATCGAGGTGATCCAAATGTAGGTGCAGAAGAAAGTCTTTAACTTCCCTTCAGTACAGTGGCAGTGGATGTGGGTTGGAGATGCAATGAGCTTGAACCTGCAGGCGACCATCTTCACTGACCACACCATCTGTGATGGAGGACTCATCTCTCCTGTTGTCCTGCAAGCAAACAATCATATTCTTTGGAACTTTGATAGATTTAGTTAGTTATGGCTATGGATTGAAAATACACCCCACCCCTAACGGCTGAACCTCCCGAAGACTTTTGTCTGGGCTCTTATCTCACTTTTTTATTTCAAACAATAGTTTTATGTAATGTTTTTAAGGCTGTGGTGTTAATTTTTAAGTAACATGAGCCCAGCGGCAGCAGCAACGCTAGGCTAACACTAACTAGCTAGCAAGATTATAAACCTGGTGCTAAACTAAGAGAAGCCACTAAATCAGTTTGAATCAGAGTAAACATTTACTCACCAAGTCAGTGTATCAGGTAAAGATTCACAGCAATGACAACAATAATTTCTTGAGCTGACGCTTTTTCAGGATTGCTCAACATATTCCATTACAAATGCTGGCACCGTGAACATGCGGACTGATCCGAGAGGGAGGAGGAAGGTAGTGACGGGGCATTTTCAAAACACGTCTTTCATCCTTCCGCATGAGAAGCAAAACTTCCATCTTACTTAGTTTTTCTAAGTTAAGAGAACTCAAACTGAGTTTATCAGCGTTTTTGCATAAAAAGTACTGGTAACTTATTTAAATCGAGTTCTGATAACAAATTGATAAAAACTGAGTTCAGCCTATTTAATATCTTTAATGTTTTCTGAGCAGTGGGAACTCAGAATCATTGTTTCAACGTGGTAACCCAAGCCAGCTCATGTTTCATTATAAACTAGTAAGAGGAGTCGAGTAACTCTGAAATAAATGACCTTGTTCTAGAAAGGTTGATCAGAGTGAGTTTCAACACCTGTGTTCCTCCTGAGTTAAGTGAAGCAAATCCATCATAACTGAAATGGTATCCTTTTAATGTGGACTATGTAGCATTTTAACTTAAAGAATTGGAGGGACAATGGAAAGCTTTTTGTTATTCCTTGTCTTCCCAGTTTTAATGTACCCTACTTTAAAATTTATTAACAAATAAAAGAACCATATGATTGATGATTACATTTGAGTTTAAAGAAAATGAATCAAATTAAATGTAATCAGCCTTAACGTAACTGGGATTAAAGCAACTGCCAATTAAGTCAAAGCTACAGTGCACTTATGCGTGTGTGGTGTTCAGACCCAGTCAGGCCTCCTTTAACCCCTCAGTGGAAAATCTGAAGCTTCAGACTGATTTGATAACAAAATATTGTACCTCTTCAAATCAAGCTGTCTGCACCCTGGATTCAAAACATCTTTGAAATCA